CTTTTCCTGCTTCAAACTGTCCTTTATCTGCGCGGCCAATTCCGCGTTCGGAGGCATATCCAGGTTGTCGCGTGTTTCCCCCTCATCGTCCATCAGAGAAAGATGAGCAGGCTTGCTAGGATCCTCGCGATCCTCTTCAATATCCAACACACTGTAGGTGTTCGTCTTCACAAAGGGAATCTCCACATTATGGGTACTCGGAGCCTGGTCCTCCATCTTGTTACCAGTAAAAATGTCTGTGGCAACAATGCTAACCTTGGCATGACCATGCTTACCCGTCTTCGACACAGAAAGGTCAATCACCTTGCATGGACGGCCATTAATACAAAGGTAACCTCCCTTCTTGAGAGCGCCAGCCTGCATTGGATAAGTCAAGGATCCGGTCTGGGCCCCTCCCTGGTGGGCAAAGCTCCCCTCATCATCAGACATGGCTGTGCACAGAAAATAATAAGGCTATTAAACAACAACAAAAGGAACAAAACAAAACATGAGCTGCTTAGCACCTCACAAATATCTGTTACAGCAGCAATTTCAAAATTATATACATATATATAGACCTCAATGAATATCAAAAACCAAATTGAGGCATTTTTTATGACGCTAATTATGTCATACACATGTATATAACAAAATTAGAAAAATATAATGAAAACAACCCATATTTTGAGTTTCACTATATTATAAAAAAGTATAGGTATTTACAGAGGGCGACGGTGTTACATAAAAAAAAAGGCATATGCCCTATTAAAATAAAAAAACAAAGGACAGAAAAAAATTATGAGTCCAACTGCACAAGGAACTCGAACTACGTAAAAAAAAAATGCCTTCAAAATCCCTCCTCCCAACTGTTGTAGGTTTACAAGTAGTTTCAATGAAAGAATGATATCGGGGAAAGAGCCTCAAAACGCCCCGGCAGCAGGTAGAGAGGAAAAGCCGGAACACGCCGCCCAAACGCCAGCCCACACACCCACAACACAGGAGTAAAGCGGAAACGCATACAGAGTATCTCTTGCAGATGCAAAAACACGCCCAAAAACATGACCCCGGCATCCCTCCAACGCGCGCGCGCCAAAGTCGACAAAGGAAGTTTCACGCCAGGGCCGCGGCGCCATCGTGAGCCGCGAACATCTCCGAAGCTGCCGGGGTGCTGTTTCGAGGCGCGGCGCCACCTCCTCTTCGAGAAGGGGCGGGGGCTGCGAAGGAAGGTGCATGAACGAGGGAAGAATTGACGTTGCTTCGTTTGTTTGTGAAACTGCGTATTTCATTTTGCAGGGCGGCCTGCTCAGTCGGGAGGGCACCGCTGTTGAACTTGATATGCTTGCCGCACCGCCGCCGTGGTAGAAGAACGAGAAGCTAGAATCGGCTACTATGTTGGGAGAGACTTCTCACCTTAGTTTTTTAGAATTCCTTTGTTTTTCTTTTGTGCTAGTGGGCAGGATTCGATGGTGCTTATGCGATCTAATGGAAATTAAAATCTTGAATAAAGAAAAATGAATTTCGCCGCAGGAAGTACCATATTATTATTATTATTATTATCGGGTGTTATCCCTCTTTACTAATATCTGCGGATTGTACTGGACAACGCCTTTTTGTTGTTACTTTATTGATGTTGAATTGTTTTTCTTGTTTGTGTTTGTCTCATATAATTACACATCTCAATATTTTGTTGAAAGTGTATCGAAGACCAAAGAAAAGTATATCTACAACTGCATCACACCTTTTTGAATGAGTGCATCTATTTCACCAGAGGTAACGGGCCTTAAAATTGGCTCTGCTTTACGGATTTCTAGGCTGCCAGCATCTCAAGAAAGGCATAGTACCTCTATGTCTCAGGAAACCACCGGAAATGTTGAGTTGAGGAAGGAAATTGATCGAATTACAGATTCTGGTGCATTCATAATTCGTGCTGTTGAGTCGTTAAGTAAGAATGACATTCTTACCATGGATATTGATATTGAAGTTATTTTGAAAGATGTTGAGGTTGAAGAGAGTTCTGTTTTTTCGTCCATCCCCCACTATCTTGAACGTGAGTGGAAGGAAATGACATCTGAAAATGCCCGTACCAGAAGGGAGGCGGTGATGAAGGTGGATGCTGTTGCAATCTCTCAGCGTGAAGGAAAGGAACGTGTTGACTACAGCGAAAATGGCCGAATTGTAATCGATCCCTCTGTACCATTGCCAATGCCTTTCAGTAGAGAACGTTATCCGGCATCTACACAAAGAAAATCTGTACCTGGTTATTATCATAGTTTGTTCTTTGGAGAAGGAGAGCCGGTTGTGTTTACACCACCGGAGCAGAATAAAAGAAAGGAGATTGAAAAATTGAAAGAAGAACAAGAGGCCTTGAAGAAAAAAATGCAGCGTACTCCCCGCAGTGAAGTTATTCAACCCAAAAAGATTCTTAAGGTCCCAAATGATTTTGTTCCTTCGTGTGCACAGGTGGATAATTCTTTGGCCCAACAGGAGTTGCGGAAGAAAAATGAAATGGAGAAGAATAAAATGAAAAAGAGTACAACACCAAAGAAAAAGGAAATAGAACCTGCACATTGATGTGCCCTCACCAGCTAGTAGAAAAGGGGAAAACAGAAGAAGATGGGAGCAACAGTGTTTGATTGTTACTATTACATCCTAATATTTGCCTATTTTACAGTAAAATGTTTTGCCGCTATGTCTAAGCCAAAACCAAGCAAACGAAAAAAAGGCAGAAGATGGGATAAGTTAATTGAGATTAGCGGATCTGTGGATTGAGCGTTGCTTTTTTGGTGACCTATAAATTGTTTGCGATCTCGGTCGTAGTGCGCTGGAAGGTCTGAATGTTTAGCTTTGAAATCTTGTAGTATTTTGGGTTTACTTGATGTATTTATTTTACTTGCCCAATGACTAGAATGTCCAATTTTATGAAATCATAATAAACTAGGGTACTGAGTTTTTTTTTTGCCTTTTTATGTGTTGTCCGTGTTTTTGCTGCGTATTTCCTGGGCATTATTTATTTTTATTTTTATTTTGCCTTTTTGTTAGCCCACAGTGTTGTGCAAGCTACAAGTAAAAAAAAAAATTACAGGGAGTCATGTCTGCCGATCGGAAGGCCGTCATTAAGAACGCTGACATGCCTGAGGACATGCAGGCGGATGCCATTGAAGTTGCTCTCCAAGCCATGGAGAAATTTAATATTGAAAAGGATGTTGCCGCCTATATCAAAAAGGAATTTGATAAGAAATATCAACCGACATGGCACTGCATTGTGGGTCGAAACTTTGGCAGTTACGTTACTCATGAAACTCACAGTTTCTTGTACTTTTACTTTGGCCAGGTCGCAATTCTTCTTTTCAAATCAGGTTGAGAGATGATTGTGGATTTTTTGGGGCACTGGGCATTGAAGAGCACAGGATCGTTGTTCATGTACTCCCTTATTTATTGGGGTGCCCTTCGTTTTTGTTTTTCTATTTATTTGTTTTTTTTTTCTTACGAGATAGCAAGAATGAAAAGAGGAAAATCAGAGAGCCTGAAAAGGGGCAGTGTTTTATGATTACGGAGCAGGATATGCGGATTGAATACAAGAAGGAACTTAAAAAAAAACTTGAGTGGTGGTCTTTGTAGGCTAGGTGGAGGAAAAAAAAAATGAGATGAAGAAGAAATTGATTAATGGTGGAAAAAAAAAGAGAAGGTGTTCCATGTTATTTCTGAAAAAACATTTTGAAGAGCGCATGAAGTGGGAAGGTGATTGATCCACTATTCTATGTGACGCCTTTTTGATCTTTACTACTACTATTATTATTATTTTTCTCTCCATTTTTTTTTGTTGTCGTCGTTGCCTATTGCCATGTTTTTTTTTTGTTGTTGGAGTATCTTTTTCTTTCTGCACGTTTTGCTTCTTTTTAGTCGCAAACAAAAAAAAATATAAAAATGATGTATGATCTGTCTCTCAGAGGGAAAAAGCCTACCAATAATAAATTAAAAAAACCATTTTGTTTTGATAACCGCTAGATGTTTGCTTTGATTCATATAGAACTTAACTGGACCTTGTGATTGTGTTGGGTCCGTTTTTCTGTTGTTTTTGACGTTTTATTTTTTAGCCAGAAGAAAATTAATAAAAGGAGAAAAATATATTTAGTGGCCATGTATAATTTTGGAAAAGAGGTTAATGATCTCAAAAATACGTATAATTTTGGTGGCACAACTCAACACAATACCGAGCGATTAAACGAATCATCGTTATCGGAAAGACGGCATCGTTCGATGGAGGTAGGGGGTCAGCCTCATAATAATGAAGATGAAACGAAACCTTATGAACAGCAATACCCTCATACAGGTGCTACGTTGACGGCTCATGCTCTTTCTCACTCCTCTGTTTTTCCATCAGATTTACCATCACGTTCTGTCTTTTCTGATCCCCAGGAAACTTCAACGTTAGGTGTTTCTACAGAGCATCGGAAGGAAAAAAAGGAGGAGAGCACTACAGTACAGATTGCAAAGGAAGTTCTTGGACTTAATAAAACGAATACGTCTGGGATGTCATTTGAGGAGAAAGAGCGTGTATTACTCCAAGAGAGATGGAGAAGAGCCATGGCTGAGGAGAATCGTTTGAAGGCGCTTGAAGAAAGGGTAATAATCCATGAGCGGGAGACTGCATCTGCCGGTCTTACTCCTAACTTTCCCCCAAAATTTTTATGCATTAAACCAATTGTACACCATGACATTGAGCGAGTTCCTGAAGCAAGAAGGAATTTTGTCAGGCTGAATTATATTAACTGGATTGCTACCTGTGTTATGTTACTACTAAATACGATTGTTGCTATTGCTGTGGTATCTGCACCGTATAAAAAGGGCGCTGAAAAAAAATTTAAGCTTGCTCAAAATATTGTTTTAGCAGTTGTATATCTTATAGGAGCGCCTTTAAGTTTTATTCTTTGGTATTGGCCGGTTTACTCGGCATGTTCGACAGGTAGCACGACGAAGCATTTGACGAGTCTTTGTGGTTTGATTGTAGCTCTCGCCTTTACTATTTTTATTGTTGTTGGTCAGACAAACTACGCTGCGTGTGGAGTGGATTTTGCAATAGATATATCTGAAACAAAACACAAACTTTTTGTTGTACCCGTAACGATTGTGCTTGTTTTGTGGATTGCAGAAGGAGTTTGGTTGTGTTACTGCATTGCAAAGCAATGGGTCTACTACCGTTTGGATGTAAACGCTCAACAAGAAGTGAGACATCAGATGCATAGTGTGATAGGAGTATAAACACAGGCGGATCACTGTGCGCGATCATTGTTTCTTTTTTTTTCTTTAATCATTTGTAAAGCTAGCGGGAACTTTATAAAGGGATTTGACATGCGCAGTGAATGTTGATGCTTATAGCGGAAATAATTTTTTTAAAAAAAAACATAACTTGATTGCGCACAGTATATATGGTGACGCTTTTTGTTGAGCTATCCTGTTGGTATTATTCACCGGTCAAGATTTTGTTACCTACGAGGGATATACTGTAAGGCTGCACGAGCACAGTTTTTTTACATTTTGTTTTGTATTTTGCCAACTCGCCCTCAACGCCCTACTTGCGTCTTCTTTCTTCTGCTAGAAGTTACTGGATCTTGGTTGCTCAGCATCAAAGGTATAAAATGATTGTCCAATGTGCTAATGGGGGGCGCATTAATGATGGTGAGAATAAGAGTGAGGGTTCAGAGTTCACGAACAGTCGCGTCATACGAGCCATTCAGGAGTCGACGAGCCACAAATTAGCCTCGATCAATGCCTTACTTCAAACTGTTGTACAATCAGCGAAAACAGTCGTGAAGGGAACAGAGTCTCAGCGACGATTTAATGCTCAGTTTTCAGAATTTTGTCGAGCTTCGCTGGTGGGAATTGCGGACTTGGAAGATGCCGTTTACGCATTAGAAAAAACTGATGGACTCATTGAGAATGAATCACATGATGAACAAGGGGTAAAAGGCATTAGGGTGGCGGACTTTGTAAAGGAGATAGCGAATTTTATTGCATCACAGACCAGTGTTCTCGGTGCGCAATATTTGGAGCATGTGGGTATGTCTGCTGTAACGGCAGCCTCCAAGACACAGCAACAGAATAATTCTGCAGAGACAAAACGGGGCACGAAGCGTGGAAGGGTTGAATCTACTAGGCAACGGGAGGTGGATAGTAAAAGCTCATCTCGAAGACGAATGGGGACATCTCCTTCCTTGCTTTCCACGTGGGAAACGGACATGTCCTCGCCGTCATTACCACCGAACAAATTTGGACGTGGAAGAGGTGGAACCAAAGATAGTTATCATGAGACTGCAAAATTGAGTGATATCCACGAATTGTCTATTTGGCTACAACCATGGAATCTCCCTTTGCCAAGTGCTCATGGTGTTGCACTTGATCGTGTGACGACGGAGCGTTCGAAGCCTCTAGCTGCGACTGAGGACTCTTCCAAACACCCTGATGGAATCTCAGTTTTTGACATTTGCACTGCATTGACTACGGCGGAGGTTCTTAGCCTTTGGGAGACTCGAGAGTCGTTGCTTTCGGTCGGCGCGGATCGCACAAGTCTTTCTAGCCCTGTGCCTACGGAGACAGTTCTCCCACCCACCACTGAAGAAGATGGGCCTATGTTTTTCCCTAAAAGTAATTTGACAGCACGTGCGTGGGTGCCCACGCAGGTTATGTTGGATCTGGTGCACTACGGCATTTCTTCGCTTGGAATGCCTTTTAAGGATATGGTGTAAGCTGGCATTAAACTGTTAAGCTGGGTTAATCTTGGTGCCTTCACTGCTCTGGCAAACTTTTTATCGCATGCTCCGTTTTTTTTTGTTTTTTTTTGCATTCATTGGTATGCTCTACCTTGACGCCACGCTGCAAAAAAAAAAAACGATCAGATGTCTTAGGCGTTGCAAAAAGCCAAAAAAAAAATCATGGAGAACGCGGCGCACAAACTTTTGTGTCTGGTTGTATCTTATGCTATTCACCCTGGCCACACAGTTGGAAAGTTTGTGAAGTTGTCCGATGAGAACGACTGTTTTGCGATTGCATTTGATGCCCACCAGCTTCTTGAGCATCTCACTTGTACCTTCAATGATGGGATGGAGCTTCTTTGTAATGTGTTACGTAAAAGTATTGAAATACATGAAGCAACTGTTGGTGCTGCGTGTCGTGTTAATTTTATTAGTTACGTGGTCTTGCATGCGTATCATGCTCTGGCAAAGGGGGCTGTGATCTCTAAGGAGATTGGCAGGGAAAATATCAGTGGGCTTGCCAATGTGGACTGGAGAACAGGTCTGCCTTTAATTTCTCACGAAACAACCAGCAAAAATTCTGACACTAGATGCTGTTGGCATCTTATGAATAACTTTCTTCAGGAGTTACGTCTAAAGAGGTATGCGCTGGACCCCGCTGACATATTGACAGAGGTCGCCTCCTCTACGGTTGCGACAGATGAAGGAATAAACGATGATGCAAAGACGCTAGTGACTCTTTCTCCCCGAGTTTTACACGAGTATCTTCGAAGGACGTTTGCATATGATTCACTCTCGTGGGGCTATAGGGCTGGAAAGCTTGCGGTAGATTGTTTTCTCTATATTCGCTCATCTCTGCTGGAGTTTGTGGCGGAAATGGCGGCTGACAAAACGCTATGCGGAATAACCCCACTTCACGCATTTGTAGAACAGCTTTTGTGCAAGGTTTCGATCGAAGAAAACGACGGGCTAACCACAGGTTGCAGTGAGGGCCACGTCCTTCCCGGGATTGCTTTTGTCACAACAGTACGCTTGAAACGGAGCTCAGATGTTTTGTCAGGAACATGCGTGTGTTCCCCCCCACACGCCTTGGAGTCACTGGTGGAAAATGAGGTTTGTCACATTGATCTGTTGTTGCTGTTTTCCCAATTTCCTGATTCAGCCACAGAGGAAATTGATTCAGATCTTTACCGACTTGCACTGATGGTGAAGAGTGTAGAGAAGGGACTCGTGGTGATTGCTGTTCAGAGCCACCTTGGTGAGGCGACGTTGCGCTGCATGGAATCATGGGGGAATCCTACTCGAACCGTTTTGGTATTGGCTGTTGTTGGCAAAAAAGTAATGACACAACTAGCACTGGCTTTTCGAGTCTTGCCGAGGACTCTAGGTAAGCTTCGAAATGGCCCTGTTGAGGGTAGGTTGCGTGTAAAGGCTCTTTTTGATTATCATTCAATAAAACGTCGTAGCGGTGTGGAGCTTCAATCGGTATTGATGGCGTTCAATCCACTGAACATGGAGAGAGGTGGGAGGCCGCAGGGAACCAAACACAGGATGGTTAGTATCGTCTTTGGTGGTCGCTGTGCCGCTGATCATGTCCTCATGCAACGTCTTTTTACTCGTCAACTGCATCACTTGGTAAACATCCTTTGTTTTCCAGCCCCTCAAAATGTTGTGATGCCCGCTGGCGGGGTGGCAGAAGCCTGTGCAGTGCAATACCTGGAGAAACAACTCCATGAAGTATCCATGGAGGACGATTTCTCTTTGCGAGACTTTAAGATGCGGCTATTGATAGCACTACGGAGTGCGATTTTTGCCTACATGGGAGACGTCCTTCAGAGGTCTGGAGGCCTCACAGCGGAGGCGGCTCTGGAACATCTGTCCCTTTCCCAAGGACGCTTTGATGCTGTGGAGAGAGACGCAGACAGCAGCGTAGCACACGGTAATGGCGTTGGTGCCTCGGCGTTGCGATCGGCTCTGTCAAATCCATTGTACAGCCGCCTTGTTCCTACCCCGCCTTTAATTGGTGTCTGTGATGCAACGTGGTCTGAGAATTGTTGCGCAAAGTCTACACTTTTGTTGGCGGATGTTAGCGAGTGGGAGTCGCAAGCAGAGGTGGCCAGTGCTTACCTTGCTATTGCGATGTGCTTGGACCATCTCTGTTTTACAAGCATTATGGGAGGGAGTTCAGTGGTGGGTGACTCCGACGAAGGCACACAGATAAGCAAACTATTCTTCTATCCCGACATTGCCTAGTGCCGGCTATGGACAAAGGGACACATCAGTCAAATCTCCTCTCTCACCTACAGTAAAAAAAAAAGACAATATTTTATATGTCTTTTTTCTGCCCTTAAGTGTGGTCCGAAACTTATATTCTTTTATGACGTCTGTGATGATTGTCCACTGTCTGGCACACATGTCTGCGGTCATCATTTTTTTAAATATTTGTGTGTGGTTCCTGCTTGTATTTTTTTTTTTGTTCCTGCGTTGTGTAAAAGTATAGCCGCAGATGGTGCATTCCTACGGTTACAAGTGTGGCACCCGCCACCTCTTCGCGAAGAAGTTCCGCAAGCACGGGGTGCCGTCCGTGAGCACCCTGCTGACGAACTTCAAGGTCGGCGACTACGTCGACGTCGTGGCGGACTCCGCCGTGCGGGCCGGGATGCCGCATAAGTACTACCACGGCCGCACGGGCATTGTCTGGAACGTCACCCCTCGTGGCGTTGGCGTGATTGTCAACAAGCCAGTCCGAAACCGCACGATTCGCAAGCGCATCTGCGTGCGCTTTGAGCACGTGCGCAAGTCGCGCTGCCAGGAGGCCTTCAAGCAGAAGCAGAAGGACTTTGTGGCCTTCCAGGCAGCGAAGAAGGCTGGCAAGCCGCTCCCTCCCCCGAAGAAGAGCTCCCGCAACGGCGGCATTGTTCGCCCGAAGAATGTGGAGGTGCTGGCCCGCCGCACTGCCGATTACGAGGCCATGATTCCGTACTAAATGGGAACCATCCATCGCCAAGGCTGTCGT